GGCGGGTGGGTTTTGGGGTGGCCGCGAAGGCGGCTTTCAGAGTCTCTAGCTGTTTGGCTTTGATGGTGGTGCGGGGGCCCCGCCGCTTGGCCCCCAGGTTCTGGTCGTCGTTTTCGTTGCTGCCCGTCTCCTTGTCCGACACGTTGGCGCTTTCCGAGTCCTTGGCGTCGTCCTGGGAAGGGTCTTGGGAGTCCGGGGACAGGCTGGGGTCACTGCCGGTGGTGGCTGGGGGGGAGGAAAGAGGGGCAGGATGAGCCGGGGGGGACGGAACACCGAAATACCGCCCGCGGTACGAGCCGGGGAGAGAAGGGAGAGGGGAAGGAGAAGGGAGAGGAGACAGGGAAGGGAGAGAGAAAGGAGAAGGGAGAGGAAAAAGAGAAGGGAGAGGAAAAAGAGAAAGGGAGAGGAAAAAGAGAAAGGGAGAGGAAAAAGAGAAAGGGAGAGGAAAAAGAGAAAGGGAGAGGAAAAAGAGAAAGGGAGAGGAAAAAGAGAAAGGGAGAGGAAAAAGAGAAAGGGAGAGGAAAAAGAGAAGGGAGAGAGAAAGGAGAAAGGAGAAGGGAGAGGAGAAGGAAAAGGGAGAGAGAAAGGAGAAAGGAGAGGAGAAGGAGAAAGGAGAGGAGAGGGAAAAGGAGAGGAAAAAGAGAAGGAAGAGGAGACGGATGGTACCAAGGACCGGGAGAAGGGAGAGAGAAAGGAGAAAGGAGAGGAGAAGGAAAAGGGAGAGGAGAAGGAAAAGGGAGAGGAAAAAGAGAAGGGAAAGAGAAAGGAGAAGGGAGAGGAAAAAGAGAAGAGAGAGAGGAGAAAGGAGAGGAGAAGGAAAAGGGAGAGGAAAAAGAGAAGGGAGAAAGGACAAGAGAAGGGAGAGGAGAAGGGAGAGGAGAAAGGAGAGGAAAGGAGAAGAGGAGAGAGAAGGGAGAGGAGAAGAGAAAAGAGCGGAGCAGGGGAATGGAGGGAAGGAGAGGAGCCAGCTCTCACCCCGCGGAGAAGCCGGGGTTGGACGCATCGCCTCCCGCACCGCTCCTCACCTGAATGCAGGCTGTTTTCTTTGGCAGTATTGCTGTTATTTAGGTAATCTTCTTTGCAGACAAACTTGTTCTCGTCTATGATGTAGAGCTCCTCGCCGGTGGAGAGTTGCTTGTTACACATCATACACGTAAAACAGTTCAAGTGGAACACTTTGCTCCGCGCCCTGCGGACCAGGTCGCTGGGGGAGATGCCCTGGGCACAACCCGCGCACTTGGTCCCGAAACACCTGCGGGGAAAGGCCGGGCGGGGGGGGGTCAGCAGCGCCCGCGGGAACGGCCCCGCAACCCGGCCCGCACCCGCCGCGGCCCCGCGCCCCTCCCCGCGCACCCTCCGCTCGCCCCGCAAAAAAACGGAACGAAATAAAAGCCCAGCATCCCCGCGGAGCGGTCCCGCTGCCCGGCGGGTGCCTGCAATTATCTTTAAAAAAATAAAAAATCCAAAAAACGACAATAAAAAAAAATAACCAACAAACCAAACCCCGATCTGGGCAGCGAAGGAAGCGGTGAGGGATTAATTAAACCCCTCTGCGCCCCGGCACGTTGATTAACGACGCTCTAATAAATATTAAGCGGAAATTCTTATATGTTATTAATCGGTGCCGGCCGCGCATCGACCGCGGGAGCTGCCGGTACCGGTTGGGCTGGTCCCGCACCGGGGCCCCGCAGTCTCCGGGGCTCCGCTGGGGCCGGGCCGGCAACGCGGGGCTGTCGGTAACCGGCCCCGGTGCTCAGGGAGGAGCGGCAGCAGAACCACGGGGCTCCGGGCAGCGCACCGGGCGGTGCGGGATACCGCTGTGCGCGGAGCTCTCCGCGGCCGGTCTTTGCCGTGATTGCCGATACGCGGGGCGGTGCGGGGGTGCCCGGCCGGGCGGCCCCGCTCCCAGCAAAGGATTTATTCCGTGCCCGGCGGGATGCGCGGGGGGAAGCGGCGGCGAGCCCGTGTCGGTACGCGCTCCCCGCTCCATCATTCGCGGAGCGGGGGGGATCGCTGCCCTCCGGTTTAACGGGAGGCATCCGGGCCTGACCGACCGGGCCTTCCCCGCAGCGGGGCTCCGGGGGCTCTGGGAACGACGCCGTGCTCCAGCCCGCGGAACGCTGCGCTCACGGCCGCGGAAAACCCCACCGGGAAAGCCCGGAAAGTGCCGCCGCAGCAACGGCGGGGCCGCCCCCGCT